GCTGGCTGAAATTTAGGACTAAATCCGCACATGGCTACTCTCTGTGTATGTTTATTGTATGTTTCCATAGCATGACACTGTTGCTAACGATCCTGGTGTTCTCCTCCAGTTTACCTACTCCGGGGCAGACAGCGTTCCAGTCCACATTGTACAGTTGAACTTCCTAAAACTGCTGAGCGCCACGGCCAAGCAGACCTTCACCTACCACTGCCTCAACTCGGCCGCCTGGCTGCACACCGCCACCTACAGCCACCAACACGCACTGCGCTTCAGAGGCAGCAACGGAGAGGAGCTAACGCACGAGAACACACATTACATCAGCGCGCTGTACGACGGGTGTCAGGTGAGCAACGCAGACACACGTCCGAGTGTCAACACACACACACACACCCAGACTCTTTTTTTTGTTATTGGGGGTTATTGAGTTGTCTTTGTCTGCTGTAGACACGCTCAGGGCAGGAGAGGACGGTGTTGGAATTTGACGCTCCCCTGTCCAACACGCTTCCCATCATCGATGTGGCCGTGTCCGATTTTGGAAACGGGAACCAGAAATTCGGTTTCCAAGTTGGCCCAATCTGCTACAACGGTTAACCAAGTCAGGGGGGAGCCAGCAACAGGAGTAATTTAATAGGACAAAGAGCCATGGACATTTTTTTTACATGCAGGGAGAAAACTACACTCGAGACCACATATTTATAAGTCAGTATGCCTACAACAGTGTTCCTTCATCTACACATTCCTTCTTTTAGTCGCACATTCATTCACTCACTTTGTCCATCTGTAAGTCACACATTGATCTCATGCGTTCGCACAGTCAACTCTCAGGCTGTATTGTCAAGAAAAGTGCATTCAAGCAGTGACTGCTAACATCCTCTCAGTGACTCACATTTTTCACTTTCCTCTTTGAAGGAGTAAATGGTGCTCTCACAGTTTCATTCCATGTCTGTTCATACCATCATCGATTTATGCACTCAACTCTCATCTATACACAATTACACACAATGCAAACATTATTATCAGTGGAATCATCTTTCAGCAGCATTCACCCACCACGTTGTTCTGTGTTGTCATCAAACCTCAATTTGTTGTGTAATTTTTGATTGTTGTTGTAATTTTGTTGTTCTGATTATCTGTTATGTGATGTATATTGGAGTGTAATTCATCACGGTGCTATTATGTGGCTCCTTGCGGAGTACATTTCTTTGTAAAAGGGAACTGGGGCAGTGCATTTTTTTTTTATATTGTGAAGCCATATTTTATATTTTTTCAACATAACAAACCAAACTGTGGTATGTGATTTCCTCAAGGTCTTTCAGGCATATTTGTGTGGGGAAGTGACTGATTAACATATTTTAATAAAAGTACATAATGTACATTTAAGTTAATATGATGACAGTTTGTTTTATTGATTGCATTTGCTAAACAAGTTTAACTCGAGGAACAGGCAGACTCCAGAAAGTTTTCATGATGCATGTCAGGTTTAAACAATTTTTATAAATGACGCTGTCCGAGAGTCTGTTGGTCCACCACTTTGGTTGAGACAGAAATACTTCAGCATTTATTAAGCAAATTGGCAGGATGTTTTCTACTGATATTCTGAGATGAAACCTCCTTATACTGACGGTATCTTGACTTTTCCCCAAGTGCTGTCATAAGACTGACATTTTTGGCTCAGCAGCTTTTGGATGGGTTGCCATGATGTTTGGCACACATATCCATGGCCCAGAGGACTTTCATTATCCTCTGACTCCCAGCAAGTAAGCGTTTTCACCGGAAGCCTCTAGCTGTCACCATTTTGGCAGTACATGACTCCTTCTCGCTCCTGGCTAATCCAAAAATGAGCAAAGAGTTGGCGTGTGAATGAAGCTAAAGCAAGTCATGTAATATCCTTGCCCCATGGACTGTCCTATGACCTGAGACTCAAAGTGTTAATTGATGCATAACTTAAATTCAACCCCAGCACAGGAGTCACAAACAGGAAAATTAGCTATAGAGATCAGGCTGTTTTTTGTACCAGACTGTAAACTTGTTTATTTCTGCTGTGAAGTTGGACATTTTGACATAGGGTTCTATGGGTACTGACTCACTTTTGTTGCAGGCCTCAAGTGGACATTTGAGGAACTGCAGTTTCTGGCACATGGCATGAGGTTAAAGTTTTCAGTTGTCCAATTTATTTATTTCATTTATGACCTCAAATGTGTAAAATTAATGAAATTCTCATTTCGTGTTGGCATGGTGACATGTTCAAGGGGGGAAATGGTAAATGCACCTGCTCAGTACATTAGCATCTAGCTCAAAGCATCCTTGCAAACATTTCATCAGCCAGCAGGTCTACGGCACTATTTTTCCATTTAATGGAAAGTTAAAGTTGCATCTGCAACCTGTTGCAACGTGACATTGGATCAGTTCTCATTTTGACGATATATTTCTACTTTCTGATTCTGTCTAGGTTTTAATGTTGTCTCTGGCTCTAGACTTGTCTGGCTCGATTTGCATTTGAGCTATTGGACTTACTGTAAGATGGTTATGGAGTTCCTGATGACATGTCAATTAAAAGACATCACTGAGCAATTGTATTAAAAATATAGTGCTGTCAATGCATGAAATACGGCTCTTATCGCGTAAGGTCAGAAAAATAATTGAGGACAAATCCATTTCACGTCTGGTAATTGATCAGTATAATGTTAAATTGTGATCTTAAAGTCACAGGAAGTCAGTGAAACGATGATAAAATGTATTTAATGTGCTCTGAGCTCCATTTGAACCATTTCCAAAGTGCATTTGTAAGTGCAGAACATTGAAGTTCAATGTCAGGAAGGACAGAACTAGAGGCATGAATCACCTCTTTAGGTCAGCAGCACACAGGATGTACTTGATTTCTTAAAATATTTCAAACCATAGATAATACAGCCCTAGTACTCGCTGTCCAACCTTAAAATTTGAGTCAAAGATGATTCCTGAGTTTTCTGGCAGAGGCTTTGTGTTTGGTTGGCATGAAGCCATCTTTGTTGGTAATTTCCTTTGTCAAGAAAATTTCTACTGAAGGGTTTTATGTGCCTGAGCTGTATTTTATTCAGTGCGCTGCAGATTGAGCATACATCATTCATGTTTCCCGGCCTTCTTCATTCACCCTCACCTCTTCCCAGTGTTTTATTCCTCCTCTGTCTATCCTGACATCGGCGGTACACCTAACAGGGACATTTCCTCTGATGCTGAAACTTTAATAAGTGGAGGCATGTGAACACAGCGAGCTCGTCCTGGAGCGTTTAGCCGCTAATTTTCAGCACTGAAATATGGATGACATGAAAGTCAGTCACATTGTGTTTAACTAAACCCAGAATGGCAGCATGTCTGCGCTCTTTGAGCTTCAACCCAAACCTTTAATGAGAAGAGTTAATATTTCATTCCTTCTCTGTTTGTGTACTGAAGCCAGATGTCCGCAGAGAGAATGTGAAGGAAAAGGTGAGGAAGACGTTTTAGCGCTTCGGTTTTGTCTTAGCCTTTTGACTCAAGGTGTGCTATCTATGTCTACAGGTCTAAAATATGATCAAATAAATATTAAATAACTTCATAACAAGCTACACCCCCAGCTGTATGCTTGAAATTAACACCTGGGCTCTGAAAATATACCTCATGATGTTTTAGTTTTTTTCTCTTTTCTGTTTCTGATATGATGACAGAGGAAAAGTATTTAACATTATGAGAAATAATTCATTTGATATTGTCTGCAGTGAACTGTGGGTAGGGTTAATGTGTACAAAGAAAACCTAATATAATCTAAGGAAAAATATTTAGTTCACTTGATTTTTCAGTTCCATTTTCTAAATAGATAGATAGATAGATAGATAGATAGATAGATAGATAGATAGATAGATAACTTTAATGATTCCAAAAGAAATGTAGGCATCCAGTAGCTTTTATGACACATGCACAAGCAAGTGAAGATTAAAAACAACCATAAAGAATAAATAAAATCCTGCAGAGTATGTATCCAGACTGTAGAGTTTTAACTTTCTCACCACAATTTGTTTGGAATAATCATTTCGAGTGCAAAATAAGATGTTTATTTTCAATTTAATCACGTCAGGATTATATAATAACCAGACAAGTATGGAGTCAATTATTGCCCCGCAACTATGGCTGAAAATGTGTGTTACACAAAAGGAACAGAGTCGACAGCACAATTGAACCCTTTCAATTTGTGTCCCAACACACCATGAGTCACTCCAGCGAGCTAAGATTAGCAGAGCTGCCTTTGTATTGTATGTTTTCCATTAAATGATTTGTTTCGTGATGTGTAAGGAACGAGTGACTCAGACCAGTTCGCTTGTGTTTGGACTTGTTCGATTTATTTTTATTCTATTTATTTATTTTTTATATTCAGGCTGGAAAGTCGACTTCGGTACACTTTTTCGTAGCGTTTGAAAACATTACATTTGTTCAGGCATTTAAAATGAGCAGGAAATTGGCATCTAATGAATAATGGTGAAATAAAGAGAAAAATAATTGTCTAAGCCTGCAACTAATTGTTACGCTCAATTAACTTGCTAGTGTTTTTTTTTTTTTTAATTACCAATTCATTGTTTGATGGGTAAAATGTCAAAAAACATGAGCTTATTTTGTCCAGCCAAACCCAAGCAATGATGGATTTACTTTTAGTAAAATAAAAACAGGAAATCACCACAGTTTAGAACCTTGAGGTTGGGAAAGTTTGCAATTTTGTATGAATAACTATTAAAATCCATTAACTATTTCAGCACAACAAAATCAAGCCATACCAGCCCATTCTTTATAACTGAAAAAACTTAAATGCACTATTCTCCTGATAGTAACCCTCATGAGGGCAAAATCAACACTGTCCTCACATGCAGTCCGTTAACTAACTGTATCTTCACTGCCTCTGTTCATGTACAAATAATCATCCTTTTCTCAACTCCTCCTTCCATACGCCTCCTCTCTAACCTTCTTGTAAGACAGTTTTTGTCTCCAGTCGGCGCCTGAGTGGCTCTTCTCAGCATGCAGCCAACACCAGGACTGAGTTCTTCCACAGCCAGAGGGGCTTCAGTCGCCACAGTAGTCCATAACCTCTGGGCTGAGCAAAGGGAGGTGTGCGGCCCCCGCTAGCACCTGAAGTAGTTTTTTTTTCTTCATGCCTGGCGTGAGTCAAGGCTGGGTCAAGACTTGGGGGAGCTGCAGGAGAGAAAAGGACAGTGATGGGTCCACCTGAAGCCCTGTGGGTGCTGCAGCTGCTGTTCACTGTCAGCTCATGTAAGGTAAGAAAACACTGTGTCCCCCCACCTAAAACATTTTACTGCTGTGTTGTGTGAACACAGAGTGTGTCAGACAAGTTGAAATTATTGCAACTTTGCATCAGATTTTCATCATTACTTTTTTTTTAAACTCTGGATATCCGTGCTGGACTTAAAAGCAGAGGAAATGTTTAGGGTGGTAATGCACTTTGACAGATGGCTTGCAGCGTCCCTATTTGACTCTTTCCATATCCAGAGTTAAAGCGTGCATTTGTTTGCATGGGAAAACATATTAAAATCTCCTAAGGACACGCATGACTTGCTGAAAAATCTGTTTGGCTTTCACCCCAGGTCTTTGTTGTAGCCAAAGAAATGAAATGCCTCTTGCATCCACGGCATAAAACAGACTAGATAAATGCAATATTGGCTGCCAGAGGAGTTTAGAGTCTTCACAGTCTTGCTTCCGGTTACTCCTAAAAACCCAATATTATAGATTTATTTTACCGAGTTTTGTACTCACTATCATCTTTCTCCTTTATTGTTATTCTATTGTACATTCTTTTGGCTTGTTGTTTAGGTTATTTTCAGTTTCAATCTCTTTTTTTTTTAATCTTTTCTTCTGTGATATGTTTAGCTCCTTTAATATTGCTCTATGAAAAACATATTATTGTTTTCCTCAAACAGCAGAAAAGCAGCTACCTGAGTCAGTGACCATGAATACCCTGAAGGTGTTTCACACTGCTCGGTTGTCATGTTGGCTCTGTTGTGCCCCTCCATCTCCTGATGACTGTGTTGCCCCTAAGTGCTGCTGATTGAAATATTCATGTTGGTTCAGCGTATTTGCTGAAGGGCATTTTATGTATAATCCATGTGTATCCCGCAGGCTCTTTACCGAGACAAGAAAGAATGAGCATGTTACTGCCGATGAGAACAAAGGCACGATGAAATATTTAATGATGGTTAGTTAAATTGTCAACACATAATTGCTCCAGGTGTGAAACACTGAGAAGACATGTTCTTGTGTAGCTGCTCTGTGGTGAGGACTATTTAGGGCGTTTAGAAACCTCACGCACATCAGTTGTACGCAAATGTTCTGTTTAACAAGTTGGTTGTATCACAAAAAAACTAACATTGTTTTATTAATATACGTGAAGATTTTCCTAGCTTTATTAGAAAATCTTCTAAACATCACTTGGAACTGACAAACTATGGATGTCCACTGAGAAAATTTCTTGCTTGATCTCCCAGAGACGTCAGCTGTAGGTGAAATTTAGTGGTCTTTATCCTCCTCTAGGTTTTTTCTGGCTCAGAATGGGCCTTTGGGGGGGGTGACTTCACACAACAGTAAGCATGATCGGCTCACGTACAGTGAATGAAATAAGCTGTGGTACCTTGTTTGACAGAAAGCTCTGCCTTTTGCAGATATTTTTGTCCATTTGATAAATAAAAATGTCTATTATGCTTGAGTAAATGAAATCCCAATTACCAAAGCTGGTAAAATCTCAATCGGATCATTTTTGGGGCTGGTGATTTTCCCTTGATGCTCACTAAAACCCTGACCTGTATCTGAGATTGGTGTTGAGTTATTTGATGCCATGGCATTGGTATGTAGAATTACACACACACACACACACACACACACACACACAAACATATGTACTGTCTTCTCTGAGGATGGCATTTCAGTAAACAAAATAAACACATCTTCATGCACAGCCAGTATAGCGATTTTATTTTTTTCTGTTCTCTGCTCATTTCCATATTTTTGCACCTTGCAGCAAAACCGCTTTAACACTGCCCAATATATCAGGGTTTAATTAGGTTGCATCTAAAGGAAAAATATATTCAAAGGGGGGGAAAATCGATTGACTATGCAGCTGTTCCACCGACGACACTGTACCTTTAGAGATTGACCAGATTTTCTCTACTTAGGGCTGCAGCCAACAATTTATCGTAAATTATCAGATGAGTTCTTTGTTTTATTCAGTCAGTTGGTTTATAAAATGCCAGAAAATAATTCCATCGGGATTTCCTAAAGGCCAACCAAATCAATTGTTTTGTTTTGTCCAGTCAAACCCGATGTTAGATGTTCAATTTAATATTACATGAAACTGAAAACACAGCAAATCCTCACAACTGAGAGTCTTAAATCAGGGAATGATGGGATGATAAATGATTTTTTTTTTTATCCATCATTGAAATATTTCAATCATCAATTGAGTATTTGATGAATCAGCTGTCCTTCGAATTACTATGCTGTTACATTATTTTTTTTTGTACAGTTCCCACAAGTTTGCTGATAAGAGATATGGTTGGTATTGTGCTATTGATGGAAACAATTCACCCAGAGAGCAAAACACTAAAGAAATGGAGGAGCTGCTCCAAGACAAGACAAGTTGTGCACGGAGGTAAAACAGCTTTGTGTCCTTGGAAGAAAAAAAAAGAAAAGAAAATACATCTCTCTCTATATATATACTGCTGACTCTTAGTGGAATTGTTAGTGTCCTTCAGTTACAACTCTGAGTGAAGGGAAGCAACTTGAGGGAGCCAAACAAACCTATAAGTTGCAAAAAATGTGTTTTTATTGCGGTGAACACACAATCAACAGGAGGTGATGGCTGGGAACAATGCTGCTGCTGCTGCTGCTGCTGCTGGGTGGAAGAAGGAGTGTGGCTGGAGCTGAAAAAGGGCTTTTAGAGGCCAACAGGTGCCACAGAGCAGATGATGATGGTGGAAGGAGGAGCTCCAGGTTACACCAGAGATGCAGGAGATGCAGTTTTGAACACAGAGCATTTTTAATGTTGTTTCTGGTGTGAACTGAGTGAAGCATGTTGATGTTTTAAGACAATCAATACAGAGTGTACGCTGCATACAGTTAGTAAGCTGCATTTAACTGGGACTTGTTTGTGCTCTGTACCATTTATCAAATAGTGTTTCCCTAACTGCAGGTAGACACACACACACACACACACACACACACACACACACACACACACACAAAGCAGAGGTGGCTGGATTTTATTTTGGGAGTTTATTGCTTCCATGGAAACGCTGCAGACACAAATCACATACAGCATCTCCTGCACATCTTGTACTTGCTCTGAAGTTTTAATCAAATCTAGTGTGAAACAGCTCGCATATTGAGTTAGATGTTGGCAGGCGTCCCTGGTCACATGGTGGCAGTGTTGCACCAATTTGTGATGCATATGAAGCACATGCACCAACACACACACACAAACACAGACAGATAAGGGGACAGGTCAATCTGGAGCATTGTGCATTCACGTAGGTGTGTGCATTTAATCAATATAAAGGAAAAGAGGGGGATAATGGTCAGAGAGGACAAGGAAGGGATGTGTTGACTGCAATCAAGAAGAAAAGGGGGAAAACTAAAGGTCAGGGAAATAAGGAAGAGAGGTGCATGAATACAGAAAGAGCTTTTAACAAGGCGAGAAAGGAGGATGAATGAGATTTTGTTATCTCGCTGTATATATTATGCGCTTGTTCGTTTCATCAAATATTGTTCAAGGGGAGATTGAGCTGCTCGGATGAAGAAGAAGTTGAGCGAACGGGTGAGAGTCTGAGTGAGGGATGGAGGAGTGTGTCTGAGGGAGGGAGGGAGGGAGGGAGGGAGAGAGGGAGTTTGTGGATAAATGAGCGAGCAGCGCTGGCTCTGCCACAACGCCTCACTGCCAGACAAAGGAAGGAGTCCAGGAAACACACACACACACACACACACACAGTTCAAACCAGCCGTGTCCAGGAGCATCTCCTGCAGCCTGAGCCGAGCGCTGGATGTTTAGACCTGATGCGTCTTCACATGGAGGCATCTGGAGCGGTTTGCGTGCCAGGATTAATTTACTAACCTGTGGCAGCGTCGGAGAGGAGACTTCAGCTGTGGGAAAATCTCTGCCGTGCTTTTTTAAAAGCAAACACTTGCGAGCGTGCACACAGCGTGCTTTTCCTGTAACATCATGTTGTGCGGCTGCTGTTTTTAGAATGACTGCTGTCAACAGTTTGGACTGTGTGTGAGAGCCAGCCAGAGTTTGTGTTTGTGTGTGTGGATGTGTGTGTGTCAGGATGAGCGTTCCCATGTTGAAGATTGGCGCGGTGCTCAGCACTATGGCTATGGTAACTAACTGGATGTCCCAGACTCTGCCGTCGCTGGTCGGACTCAATGGAACCATCATCTCGTCTGAGGGCACACATGAGCGCATCGTCAGTGTATGTATTCTGCACAGATACACACTCACACACACACATTGTAAGACGGAGGGAAAGAAAAAGTGTTCAGGTGAATCTTTGCCACCAGATCTTCCAGATTCTTTAAGATTTGCACAAGTCAGTCAGTAAACAGAAGATGTTCTTTTGTCTCGTTGCTACTTGAGTTGTTTTGTGATCTTCAGTGTGGCATCACACACTTCTGTCTGTTGTTTTGACCACATCAACACCCACACTCTCTACATGTAATTACATAAGCTGTCCAATGTGACATGGTTTATATTTGATAAGATAAGATTTAATAAAAAAATCACTTGAAGAAAAAAAACCCAGAAGTATCGCAGGGAAGCTGAGTCAAATTCTGATGTTTGATCTGTTCATTGGTGCAGAAAAGACATCAAAGAAGGTACAGGAATAGAAAAAAAAATACTCAGAAGCACAGATTCAAAAGAAAGGAAGCACAGCAGGTTACAAATGTGCAGAATAAATAGCACTAATAAATAAATAAATAGCCTCTCCTGTTAATGAGTCATAAAGAACACATGTACAGTATGCACCCACTGCCACACACACACACACACACACACACACACACACACACACACACACACACACACACACACACACACGTAAACCCTCTGCTACACACACACACAGCAGTAATAGGATTGCTCTGTCTCAGACTTACTGGGGTGATATTTCTCATGGGGAAGGCTGACTCACCCATGGGACAGCCAGTGATTTGTTGCCCTAGCAACACCCTGGCAACCCCAGACATGTACATACTGGACCGCTGCACACACATGCATCTTAACCCCGTATATAGACCCCTATATACATCCCTGTTTGTGCGGTGTGTGTTTGTGCGGTGTGTGTTTGTGCGCGCTCGGGCGATTTAGCTTTCTGGCTCAAGAGGAGCCTCACATCTGCTGTGTGGTGGTACTTTGCAAGTTCAGCAAAGTGCACACAGGCTCATGCAAGTAGACGCCCACACACAAACACACGCGCACAAAAACACACACGAGAAGTGACTGAGAGCAGATGGAGATGTGAGAGGGGCAGTGTTGCCATTTGAGAAGGTGGTAGTGAGTTTATAGACAGAAGAGCTCTGAAATCTGCTGCTGGGCTCCTGGAAAGTGGTTTATGAGGTATTCCCACAACTACATCCGCTGATCCCTTCATCAGCACCACCTGTCAGGTTCCAGATGTGTTCAGATGTGTGGAACTGATGTCAGTATGGATGGTATTTAAAGCATTGATATTGTTGTAATAATCATGTTTGCTACAGAAGAACTGGTTAACTTTGCAGTGGTAGAACCTGCTTTACTTTAGCTATATCACTATTTTTACCTCCATATTTTGCAGTTTTATCTAATTTTAACCATTTATTGATTACCTTTAGCCATGATTTTAAACATGTATTCACTGTTTCTCTGCCTGTTTTAACCATTTATTCAACTATTCTGTGTATTTCAGCAGTGGATTTTTTTTTTTTTTACTTTTTGCAGCCCTTTATCAACTATGCCAACTATTTATCCTTTCATTTTACTGTTGCAGCTTCTCGACCTACTTGCTAACAAGCTTTGACACATTCTCTAAAATATTGACAGCATCCTATTTGTGTATCTCGCTGTGTCTTCATCATCATGGAACGTGTGTAAAATTAGAAAAGAAGGCTATTGCTGATGTATAATTCAATAATGGCTTAAAAATAGCATAAAAGCAGATGCAAGCGGGTGATTAATCACTAATTCACTTTAACGAAGACACTAGCACGCTCGCTATTCTTGTCATTGCCGCCGCAGTGTGGTAACGCAATTGTAAAAACTTCACTCAGATAAACAGATAGAAAACTTTCTTGATGCCAGCTGCTGTAAAACAAAGCAGAAGAGCAAACCGAGCCCTCAAAGCAGGCAAGCAGCAGCTTTTCATCTTTATTTTCTTCTCATTCATATTCTTTTTAACAGGAATAATGATAAATACAAGCAAAAAGAAGCGCTTAATGAATAGTGTCTGACTGTGAAATAGTCATGTAGTTTGCATATTGTCAATATGGAACAGCTTTTAATCAAATGAGCTTTCAAACAAGTGGGGTTTTGTTGTTTAAAGTGTTTACCTCTAATCAGCTGCGGTACCACCCGGGGTGCATGCACCTCTGTTTCACTGAGCAACACGACAACGGATAGATTTTTGAGTAAAACAAGCTGTTACACACATTTGATTGCGTCCTGTCTCCGCTGCTTCTCACCCACAATGTGCTAACTGCAGAAACGAGGCTCTGTTAGTTCTGCTCTCTCTCTCTCTCTATTTGCACTGATCACAATCAGCTGAGCTGCCTGTGTAGATTTTTATCATTTTTCCCTCGTGTGAAATGAGCCCTAAGGTGCCATATGTCCTCCTCTGTTTAATTACATCGAGCAGTAGGCACATCCGACGCTTATATTCTCATCCCATTCACGTCTTCCTCTGTTAAACCCCACCTCCCCTCATCAGATTCATTGTAAATGGGACTTCAAGGTTACCACACCAAACCCAGCTGATTGATTTATCAGATGTTTCCCTCCAGGCCTCCCCCCGCCACCCCCTTCCTCCTCTCCTCTCATGCATCCATCCTCCCAGCTTTCTCCTCTGTCATTATTCTTTTTCAGGGTTTGTAGGGCAGCGTCTCTGCCAGATTACTGTGACAGGCTGGCGAGTGTCATATTGGGCTCAGCCATTCCTTTACATTGTTCGAAAATGTTACCAGTAAGTAGGTCAGACTGAAGACCTGGTTAAAGCTCCCTCTAATGAGCTCATGATTTCACGTGTCCTCTTGTGTGATGTGTTGTGACTTGGTCTAAACGTTCAGACCCCAGGGAACAATTGCTGTTGCCTCAGCCCGACCTAATGAGGACCCAAATAACCTTAAAACATTTTTTAAAAAAGGAACCACGTCTTATGACTTACTTGGATGGTATTTTTGAAGTTTTAAAAATTGCCTGTATTTTGCTGTCTACTGCTGCCTTGGAAATCACTTCAGCAAATTCTGGTTGTATCTGTGCTTTTCTTTATGGTACAAATGAAGCAGTAAATAATGGCCTTCAGCAACTTTCATCTTCCAGCCTGAATACCTCATAATGAACTGAAATACTACAGTATACTTACAGGGGTGCCAACGTTGAAATATTTATTTTTGAAAACCACCTACCCTAACTTAGGCTGTGAACGCCTCTTTTCAAAATTTGGAGGATAATTTTAAGTGATGCACATTCAAGAACTTGCACTTATGCTGCAAAAACAACACCAGTAACATTAACACATCATCATCATATGGCACTAATAAGGCAAATGTATTAATCAGTTGCAGCCTATTTGCACAGTCAGCAGAAGTGGAGCAACATTTACATTTATTTGCTGTCGTGTTTCTTGCCATCTGATAAACGTGACGTCCAATATTCACTCTCATTTAGCTCTATTTTTAGTCTCAACCAACTTCTGAGAGATTCATCTGGCTCTTTAGCTGCTAAAAGCCTAATTCCTGCAGTTTCTTTTTTAATGACAGTTGTTCTTTTCACTAAAAAACAGCACTATGAGAGTGAATTGAAAATGGTAGGAAAGCCTATATAACAAGTTAAAAGACACTAAAAGGCTCTGTGGAGTTGAGATGAACAAGTCATGCTTGTAAATTTGTCACTCCTAAAATGGGAAATGTGTGCTGCAACGTTAATATAAAAAGACAGATTACGTCGTCTGGATCTTGTTTTTGTTTTGTCTCCTCGTTTAAAATTCACAAATTTAGATTCATGTCTGTAATTTCGAGAGGAGATTACCACATGAATCAAAAATACATACGTTTTGAATGTATAATTCACAAACTGAAGTATTCCAGTGCTATAAATTCAGTAATACAATATGACAGCATCACACTGTAATAATGGAACCGAGCGATAAGGTTTTACTTGCCAAGCTAGCTCCTCCATAAATTGTGACAAAGGAGGAAAGAAATATCGCAATAAACTAAAAGTACGGATCAAAATATAAGTTAATGTTATGCTTCATAGAAATTCAGCTGTCCGTGAAAGCATATGTCGATGAAATATGAATTTAATATGTGAATGAAATGGTAGCGGCAAGAGTAGAGGCTTTGCTTTGCATTAGTATGGACTGTAGGAAAGGGGAGAAATCATCTTTTGTGCAGATTTGTGGGAGCTCTAGGGAGTCTGTGACTTTTTGCCAGCGAGAACAGCAGTTCCGTCTGTGGAGGCAGAGGGTGGAAACTCTCCAGTCATGCTGCTAGCTTTCCTGGACACAGACAAGTGTGGAGATGTCACAGCTGATTTTAGCTGCAAATGAGGAATATCCAATTTAGACACGGATGTCTCTGATGCAGTCAAGTACAATAAAGCGCAAAGAGCAGGCACTCTCCCTTTTTACAAACATAAATGGATGCTTAAATCACGATACGTGTCCAGTTGAAAGCTTCTGAAATCATGCAGAGATTTACCTGCAGGGCAAAATTAGACAAAAGCCTTTTTAGAGGAAAATATTTGTTCACTTTGATGACTAAAGCCTGACCTGAATAATATGCTGTGATGCTGCTGGAACGTGTGTCGTGTGAGAAACAGAAAATACAACATGGAATCATTTAGCAGTGATTACATATTAAAAACATGTTAGTGTCAGGTCATGTCTCTCTTTAGTGCTAACTTGATTTCAAAATACGTGCATTTTCTAAAACGACTCATCTTTTATGTCTTATTATTTTCATCTTTTGTCACATCTGTATATTGGAGTCAGGGTTTGTGCTACATGCAGCCTTGAGTGAAGCAGCTCCTGAAGAATTCATTGCAAAATAATTTATAACACCCTGCCAGTGTTCATGAAGGTTGTCGTGTTTGCATTATACAAGCACATATGATGAATATATGATATCTGAGAGCATTTTTTAAAATCTTATCCTGGCTGAAATAATGGCTGGAGGGAAATTGGTGGTATAGATTTTGCGGGTTCATCCACAGTTCATTTTTTGTTTTGTTTTTTTTAGGAGTAAGGTGGACAAAATGTGGATTTTGGAAACAGTCTCCAGTGAAAATGATGTCCTTGGCAATACCATGAATATAAATTTGGTAATTTCATGTTCAGTATGGCTGCAAATGGCCATAATTCTTATTCTGACAATGTATCGATTATTTTCTTATTTATAATTTCAATTTCTACAATTTCATTTATAGAAATTTGCAGAAATTTAGTCCGTCGCCCATCATAATGTTTGTCTGATGAGCAGCTCGACACTCTATTAAAATCACTTTAATAGGAAAAACAGCTTCTTGTCTTTCTTTCTTTTTCACTAATGTCCCTGAGTGAATTACCAGCAGGTGTTTTGTTAGTCTTTTGTTTGGTTGATTTTGTTTTCTTGTACTGTTCTAACCAGAGCTTCAGGCCTTCAGGCATGAAGCAGCATTCAGCAAACTCTGATGTAAAGATTTATTTAACGAATTTTGAAAGCTTTTTGCCTTTTTTTTTTTCTGATTTACACAATTAATTGATTTTCAACAGGGATGACAATCTTTAATAATTGATTGGTTAACATATTGTATGGCTGCTGTATATTATGGCTCAAGAAAATGTTTTAAATGCTATTAAATGGTAATTCAATGCTTTTATGTATTTCAGCCTCAATAGAAATGTCAGTCATGTCCTCAAAGATCTGAGCTGAAATCACAATTATGTTTTGTACTTCACTGCGCTAACCTTCTGTTTAACGAGTTACGCCTGCAGTGGCTCCATTAACCCGGAGCCTGTTTGTGTGCAGGGTTTGTACCCGGGCTCAGAGGAAGGCTGGCAGGTGTACAGCACGGCCTCAGATCCCGACGGCAGGTGTGTGTGCACGGTGGTCGCTCCGGCACGAAACCTCTGCAAACGAGACCCTCGGAGTCGACAGCTACGTCTGCTGACTGAACAGGTGTGTGTGTGTGAGTGTGTGTGTACTTGTGAGTGTCTGAGTGTTGAGTGCATCCCCTCATGTTTCAGTGGTCAGCATTGTGATGCAGCACAGGGGAGTGGCAGCGTCCTGGAATGAAATATTCACCGGACTGTCTCTTTGTTTTGACACTTGCAGAAACACACATGAACAGACGCACATGCACACACACACACACAGACACACACACACACACACACAGGTCTCACTGACAGATGTATCCCTGATACATCAGTAGCTGAATCCTCTACAGACTTCCAGTCATTCAACATGCCAAAAGAGTTTAAACTCAAAAGAAAGCCTGACAGATAGGTCGGAAAGAAACACTTTGTTCTGTGCGGCGGGGTGAGGCTCTGTGTATGGCCATTTGTACACTTGTCTCTCTTCATATATGTGAGTGCATATGTGTGTATTTATGTGAGCATATGCATTCGATTGCGTAAGCACATTCCACTCAATATATGTGCGTCCTCAGAGAGGAGTAAAAGTGATTTGTGACAGAAATTGATGAATTATTGAACACCATCAGGCCAGCAAACATTTCTCAAAGCATGCACCGCTGTAAGCCGCACACATCAAGATATATATATATATATATACGGGCTGCATTCTCACCAAAGCATAAGCAAACCGCAGTACACCACCGTGAACGTGCCGAGGATTATCAGTCTTTTTGTCATTCACTGCTGGTGTTACATCCTGTACTGTCTTCACGCAAAATAATCAAGAAATGAGAAAAGGTAGATGAACGCTATCAGATAAAATAACTTCTTCTCCCCTCTCCTCAGTCTGTTCCTGTTGGGAGGCTTTTGTATTTATGAATCTTAATTAGCTCAGCATGTCTCTGGAAGTGACACCTTGATCCTGCTGTGAGTGTGAATGTGTGTGCGTTTGTGTGTGTTGTGCTGGTTTTTCCGCTTCTTACTGGCCTCCGCAGCATGTGTTATAGTAGGAGATATGTGGGTGGGTTTGTTTGTTTGTTTGTTTGCATATCACTTCTGGGTATCTGGGTCATTTTTAAAAGAAGATCTTTTTTCACACTTGTCTTTTTTTTCCATTCAGCATCAAAACAGATTTGAAGTATGTGGTAGCATCTCGTGATGGCTAATGAGAAGAGGCATTAGAGTGCTTGTTCCTTTAAAACACAACACACTGTAGGTGAGAAACTCGTGTTTTAAATGGATCTAATGAGACGCTCCTTCAAACAGGACGATGATCTGTGTGGTTTTGCATCATGTCCTGTCATAGGAATAGTAAACACAAGCACACAACACAGTTTTATTATGTGTCACAGTGAAAATTTCTTGTTCGTTGTAGGTACTTCTGCTGCCTCCCTGTTAAAACTATGGAGAAAGGAATTTTGTCTGTGGTGCACACAGCTTTTCAAAATTACATTTAAAAAATTCAGTGGCACTGTGTCTCTCCTGAATCAGTGTCTTCCCTATTTTGGATCATCCACAGTCCTCACCTTAAATTAGAACCACATTCTGTTGGAAAAATACCCAATAAAAACACACTGCGGTCTTTATATAAAACCAGCATACAGTACATGTATATATACTGTATGTAGGTCAGGAATGATTTAACACAAAGAGGTGTTCAGACCTTGAAATTCCCCAGATCTCAATTAAATCAGCATCTGTGAGTTTGACCCATAAAGGCCCCACGTTGCAACTCACAGTGTGGTTGATTGATTTAATTAAATTCAATTCCAATATAAATTTCATACTGTAGCTCCAATTCACATATGTCATCTCGTAGCACTTGACACAAACAGAGAACCCAACATCCAAAGTTGCCTTTGGATTCCCTGTTTGCAAGCAGTTGGTGACGGTGGGAAGGAACCCAAAAAAAAAAATAGGGTGCAAAAAAAACTCAGACAGAACCAGGCTCAGGGAAGGCAGCCATCTGACTCGACTGGCTGGGGTGAGAGTGGGAATGAGGGCGGTGGGGATAGCAGGATAGCAGATGGAGAGCAGACAAACAATACAAACAGAACAACGAACATGTTGGAGGTCGCTGAGGCCAATGACTGCAGTTCAGAGACACATCGCTCCAAATGCAGAGACATCTGCTGAGAGAACAAACGCAGGACCTCGAGGAAACACAGAGTTAGTGACATGTAATGGTGGTATATAAAACTGTACGGAAGAAAGAAAGAGAAGAGTAGGGGAAGGGAGCTCAGTGCATCATGGGAGTCCCCGAGCAGTCTAAGGCCATGTTTATACATAGCCGGGTATTTACAAAAACGGATCTATGTCTTCAAAAATAACAAAAATCTTGTTGCAAATACGTCGTTAAGAGTTGCTATGAGCATGCCAAACCTATAGGGGGCAGTGTAAGGAGAAGCATAAAGCCATGCCAGTGTTAGACCCGATTCTTTAGTTGGAAGCCCAAGAACAAACCCCAGAAATCTTCAGTTCTCAGATGAAGAATTTATTTAGGTCACAGGTAAAGTGAGGCAGTGCTGGATTCAGAGGGACAGAGAGGAATGTCATGTCCAGCTGAACTGAGTTTTTCTGGGTTCAGGTTACAGATATGTTCTTGGGCTGGGACTGCCCCGAACAGAGGTTGGACTTGTACGCAACCGAGTTTAATTGGCCAGTTACTGTGACGTGAACAGGCTAACCACTGTTCATGTGGAAGTTCACTGAAATGTAAACAGAAACTGCTTGGATCGAATACAAAGTGTGTGTGTGTGTGTGTGTGTGTGTGTGTGTGTTGTCCACAAGGCGTGTATCTAAAGCAACTGATAGAAAAGAGGAGTTTCCGCTGTCACCCACTATGTGAACCAGTTCTCACTGGCCATGTTATGTTCAAGGACGTACCTTGTGCTCAGTAGAAACGGAATCATAGGTTCAGTGGAGAAATACAGATTCAGAATACATAATAGCTCGAAACATAATTAATTATAACACTAGCCAATCAGAATCCTGGAGCGAACCTCCGAGCGATCCTTCTCCTCTGCTCCTTCACATAATACAACATTTCTGAATGTAAATGCAAACCTGCCAAAAGTGTACAAATGTAAAAACAAGCACTGTTTTAACAGCATCCATTTCTATCACAGTAGCCAAACTGTAAACCTGGGTCGCGCACATACGAGGATGCTTTTGTCGCACACTGTGACGTCCGTCTCCTCCCGTCTACATGCAAATGTAAAGACGGAGTTTTTCCAAATCTCCACTTTGGCCGGAGTTTTCAGATATGATCATTTAGCTTTGTTTAAACCAAAGGCCGAAACTCATTGAAATATCACCGTTTTCAGCCTAAACTTAAAGCAGCATAAGTAAGGAACAGTTGATCCTGAGCTGTCCTAACATTAAGTTTTATCAAAGAGGACAGCTTTAAGCCTCATCTTAAAAGTAGAGAGGGTCTATTTGAATATATACAGTGGATATTCATTCATTCTTTCCCTCCCACATGACGGGTTGTGTGTGTCCTCTCAAACCTCACGCCGTTTACCAGATTCCTGAGAGTTTGAGCTTTCTGTACAGGATCTTTGCTGCTTCTAGGACTGTGCTTATTGAGACTTTGATGTTGCACATGGAACCTGCTGGAGACGCTCCTTGTGTCAGTTCAAAGTGAAACATCTTAACAACATTTAAATGGATTGTTATGGACTGGTATGTTGTGATAACTTCAGTTGCCCCATCATCCATAAACTTGTGCACATTATAACAACTAAACATCAGTATGTTCCCGTGTTGTTAGCGTTTAGCTCAAAGCATCAGTGCCGGTGTGGAAAGGTGCTAATTCACCGAGCTGCTAGGCCACAGTATCTTCAAATAACAAAGTCACACTGTAGTCAAGTCGCTTTTAGATGCACACACTCTAAAACATGTTTCTTTCTAACACAACATTTCTAAATGCCTTTTGTCAATGAACCGATTAGCACAAATGAAATTCCTTTTTTTATCGCTGCTGTGTTGGGGTGGAGGCAGAAGTCTCACAGATAAATATCTCCTGGGAAGATAAAACCAAATATATCTGCAAGGCCAGACACCACGAGAGGCGGTAAAGTGAGCGAGCCCTTTAAGAATAACATCACATCACTACACAGCCATGTTCTTCAGCAAACAACAGGTGTGCGGAAACATAGCAGGTGCCAGTGATCAGACAACAGCCAAAACCAATCAGAAGCATTTCTAACGACAGGGGACACCTACAATATTCACTCATAATGTCGACCATGTGTTTGTTTGTGCTTGTGTCAGGTTCAGAATGTGAGCCAGTCCATGGAGGTGGTCGACCTGCGGACATCCAGAGACCTGCAGTATGTCCGAGACTCTGAGCCACTGCTGAGAGGAGTGGACGGACGTTTACACACTTATGTGGCCAATCCGCGCACTCTGACAGCTAAAGGCCTGCAGGTACGCAAACACACACACACACACATATACACACACACACACACACACACACACACACACACACACACACACACACACAAATCCAGAGTCAGACACCCAGACACACACATGCAGTGTAAGACGGTCGCTGTAGGGAACACATAACCTTTGGTGTGAAAACATTGATTTCACGCATGCCAAGCTGAAGTTTCCTGCCTGCGCTCAGACACGCGAGCCTCTTTCATCAAGGGGACAAAATTTGTCTTGAAGCTGTCAATTTGCTGGCTTCATGTCCGCTGTGTAAAAGTGTCACACAGCCTTGTTCTGAAGGTGCCAGCAAAACTGCAGCATCACTGCACACATTAAGGCTTCAAGCTGTCAGAAAAAAAATCCATCTGGAGAGACTCTAAAATTTTAATATTAATAGCCAAAAAAATTTACATAATATTGACACAGAGAAGCACAAGACATTTGCACCATACATTTCTTCTCAGTTTGTTTGTTGGTGTTTTAACATTTGTGGAGTGAAGACGAGATTAGCTCCCAGGATAAGTATTGCCTTTTATTGAAGGAAATCTAATTTCACTTCTTGAATTAAGAGTACTAATCTCATCAGGCTTGGTGTTTTCTGCCATGATGCTACTGGCAGGCGTCTGCTCCAACAACAAAGCAGGAGGCTAGTGGAAGATTATCTTCAAGGGCTACAGAGAATAAGAGGCTATTGATCTGAAGAATGAAGACTAAATGATCTTAACAGTTAAACAGCTGTGAAACTGATGGTTTAATGTTGGCAATTGGCAGCTAAGGACTCCTAATGATACTGGAGTAAAAGGTAGCAAAACCCTGTTCACCATTTACACCTGCATGAAGCAGGAATTTGGGGATTTGTGTCTAAAATCTGAATATTATCTGGTTGATGTTTGTAGACATATGTGGCACATCTGTTTGAAAAGTGGTTCTTCAGCCCTATTCTCACAGGACTAGTATGACCTGAGGACCTCATGTGATTTTAGAATTACCCCCCTACGTCTGTGATTTCTGTGCGGCATTCACGGAGGATAAGCGAACATTATCCCTGGATATGATATTAACAATCTGCCACATAATCACTGTTGAGCCTGTTGAAAGACAGCAGAATGTTCCTTACCACCTGCTGCCACGCATGTCCGCCATCTGAACATCCTTGGAGATTTTGCTCTTCAGATGGATTTGAGTTTTCTCTGAATAGGTCTCCATGCTGTGCAGTGATATGAGCCTCCTGATATTTGCGCTCAAAATGCTTCATACTTTCATTTGTAATCACCAATGCAGCCTCCATAACACTTGTGTGGGAAAGAGGAAGAAGAGATGTGCAGAGAAGACAAAACAACTCACAACAAGAAGCAGTGATGCTGATTTACACTGAACTAATATTATCACAGGATCTCTGTGTTTGACAAAATGTGCGTTTTTGTTGTTTTCATGGCAGATTTACAAAGAATTAAGTTTCACAGAAGACCTCTGCAATTCTTACAATTTACTAGAGGTGTCCAGATTACGCCAGTCCTCTGCAAATGGAGCTTTTTATGATATTTTAGCCTGACTAGTTGGAACACGATTTAAGCTGAAACACAGTCATTTGCCATCATCAGTCACCTGCATCAGCTAAAAGAACACATTAGAATTATTGCTATTTAGTACAGATAATTTTTTGGGGGCCTTTTAAAAGACAAATTCGTTCTGAATTGGTTTCAGAGAAGTGCGAGAAAAATGTATTCACCTCCAGACTTGAATTGATCATCTTGCATGGAGATCAATGTGACTGATCTTTTACCTGCTAAATCACAAGCCTCTCCAATGTCCAGGCAGTTTCAGAGACAGACAAGGAAGACTCTCACTTACCACGTATCGATTGTTTGTATCCTTAAATGCTTTTGATATTTCACTGCAGCCCACAACTGAACTTCACCTTGCCAGTTCTGGTCTGACTGAATCAATCGGTCACGATGCTCTCAGTGTCACGATACAGTGTTAAATGAATAGCTTTTGGGAAATTCACTTATTCGGTTTCTTTCAGCATTGGATAAGACTGACAGCGCTGTCATGTCTTTACAACAAATGTTACTCTTCAGCCAGCAGCTTATTCTAGCGTGAAGACTGGAAGCGAGGTAAATCTACCTACCGAAGCCTCTAATACTCTAATACCATTTTATAGAAGGTTATGTGCCACACTTTTCCTTGTCCAGGTCCCCAATGGTTGACTGATAACTGCTGAACTAAGTGGCTGCAGACTGAAACTACACATAGTGTAAAAATGCTTTGGATCAAATCAACAAAATTTGATTCTGGATTCTGTTAAAATACAAAACAGCAAGCATAAAAAAAAAAACAATCATTGCTCGTGTGATTAGGCAGCCATAGACCCAACATTATATTATATTTAAACACTTGAGATGCTTTATAAGCTGAACAGAGGCTTCTTTAAAGGTCCACAAACACCCGCACACAGTTTTGTTTTTATCACTTCAGAGGACATTGACTCGGATTAATTTCTTGGATAATTACTAATGATTACTTAATTAACCCTAACCCTATTTGTGACCTGAACACACCTCTTTATACTAAAATGTAATGATTTACATTATGGGAATTTGCATTTCGTCTCCAGAAGGCGGGCAGTTCCTCACAATGTGACTGTGTAAACAGATTTATGTCCCCACAAAAAGAGTAATACGAACACACACACACAAACACTAACCCTTACTTCCCTGAATAGAGCATATTACCGCCTCGCTATAAATCCATTCCGCCTTTCATCTTTTGCCGAGCATCTCCTTAACAACTGGGGGGTCTGTTTTTAAGTTTTTATATAGTTAGTTTATGCCTGTGTGTGTGTGTGTGTGTGTGTGTGTGAGTGTTTGTGTGCATGCGCTTGTTGCTCCTTGGGGGTTTTCACAGTCATAAGCTTTTGCCTTTGCACTGAGAGGCAGAACTCCTGAATATTTATGGGCAACAACAGTAAGTTTATCAATAACTAAACAGTATTTTTATCCCATGGAGGAAGGAACCAAGAGAGATAGAGAACGGGAGGTCAAACAGAGAGATTAATAGTTAGAGAGATGGAGGAGAAAAAGGGAGGAAATAGAGAGGAAAGGATATCTTACTGCACACGAATGTTTTTCCCTATGGGAGGAAGGGATGAGAGGAATGAGCAAAGTGAGTAAGTGGGAAGGTAAAGGTTAGGCGGAGAGAGAGCGGGAGAGATAAAAGAGTGGAACAGGAAGGGAGAGATTAGAGAAATGAAGATGAAGGAGGAGGCACGGCAGGGGAGGGATTATCCAGGTAAAGTGTTCACTGTCTAACAAACCATGACATTTTTGGCATTTTGTCAAGATTGATTTTAATGAATGTTTAATGAACATGCAATTATATACGAATAATGCTGCCAATAGCAATCAGTGATGATAAAGTAGACAAATTGGAGGTCAATCGCTTTAAATCTCAGATTTTTCACACTGTGCTCTTATGACATGAGAAAATTGGGACTAAAACGGTTTCGTAAAATGTTTCAAAGTGATGTTGGAAAAGTATTCAGGGGCTGATTTCAAGATAGCTGGCGACGGATTAGACACATAAAGTGTCTGACTGACTGCCAAGCCCGTTTCCTGGATATGTAGTTGTGTTTGTGTGCGGGGGTGTGTGATGTTCTGAGGAGATGATAACATATTTGTCTTCGCTTTTGACACTTCTTTTAATCCTCTTTTTTTTTTTCCAATATCTGATCCAACGCCTTTCTCTACATGGCAAACAGTTTTGGGGGGATTTGAAGGTGAAGACACAGCTAAGAATAAAACAGATGTTTTAAAAAGCAGTATCTAAATAAAACCCTCTTTATCCTCCTGCTGCAAGTTTTTTCATAATTTTTAATCATATCGATTTTCATTTAAGATGATCACTTAAAAACTTCTGTGCTCTCCAGCAATAACAGCTCAAAATTATCCAGTGTGAGCTGTTTGAAAAAAAAAAAAAGATTCTTCCATCCATTTTGTGCTGCTTATCTGGGTCACAGTGCCAGCAAACTATGCAGAGTAGCCCAGACATACTCTCCTCCAGCACATCTCCCATCGCCTCCTGTGGGACTGTGAAGTATTCACAGGCCAGATGGGATGTGTAGTCCCTCTAGCATGTTCTTCGGGGTGCTTTCCATTTGGTTAATGTGGTTCTTTGGTTCCCTCGCATCTATTTAAGTACCCTTAGCTCCTCCTGATGGAGAGTTAAGGGATGCGACGTGGAATGGAAGCAGCAATTAATCATGATGCGCAGCATCTTGGCTGAGAAATGTGCAGAAATAATTAAACAAGAATAAAACAAACATTATACTCAAACGTAATCAGGAAAAATATCAAGCTCGAAGGCCAGAGTTGGATCCAAAAGGTATAAAAATGGTCAGTATAACCAGACGCCTTAGACTGATTCTATTAGTCTTTAGCCTCAAACACAGACTTGCACAGATATTTTGGCATGAATTCTGCTGTGTGCGATGGTCCCTCAGTTACATGTTTGAATTCGTATATTATTACCAGCAGGTTGCACCAGCTGGCTGAATGTAGTCACACCTGCCTCACTAAAGCAAACTGAACCACATCTTTGCTCAGTTTTGACAGTGAAAACTGAATCAAAAAGAAAATGTAATGGCTTTTGATGTTAAAATCATTTCTCAATAGTTACATAAAAATGTAAAGACAGCAGCTGAAGACTGCGGCTGCAGCCCTGATTATAGACCTGTGATGTTTTCAGGGCTCAAGAAAACGGGCAATTTTCAATAGATAGTTAATTCTATAATGACTCAGTAATAATTTGTCCTACAAGCAAAGGACAGTATATGTTATAGTAATGAATATGAATAATGTTAAACTCTCTGATATTAGTCTTTTTTTCTACATTTACTTTATCTAATCTCTAATTTTGGAACCATGCAGTAAAATTCATATTATAGCGATGCTGTTTTGAGCTCTTCTTTTTACTGTCTCATCAGATCAGTGGACTAATTAATTAATAAATAGATCCACAGTGAACGAATGCTGCTGTCCAGTAAAAAAAAACAAACAGCAAAAGCGTCTGCGTAGAATACACTGGTGGTTCCTCGTTTAAAGCTCCTGCCTCCACTCGCCTCGCTCGATCAATTTCCGGGCCACAGGCTGCAGGAGAGAGAAGCGAGGATGGCAGGAAGCATAATTAGCTGAATGAGAGGAACCTTGAATCTACTCTGGGGTCCATTCCAGTTAGACAAGCTGGGAGGAGGGTCCAGATGCATAAACTGCCTCAAATGACTGTGGAGGAGCAGTGTCTCCGGGCCGCGGCAACTGGAAGAGAGAGAAAAACACGGCAGATGGGTTTTTCAGAATTAATTGTACGGGTGCAGACTTTCTCTCTAACTTAGTTTTTCTTCTGCTTTTCATGGGGCCACAGGAGTTAAAGGGCCAGATGTCTCAGCTGCGGCCCCTCTTGTCGGTCGTGGAGCAGTACAGACTGGACCTGCAGACTCTGGCCACCTTGCGACTGGAGCTGCTCAACCTGTCAATCATCCTGACAGCCATCCAGGAGGAGATCGGAGCGTACGATTACGAGGAGCTTCAGCAGAGGGTGTTACTGCTGGAGACCAGGCTGCACAGCTGCATGAACAAACTGGGTATGTGCTGCAGGGAGACTGATAAAAACGATAACTTTTAAAGTCACTTATGAGTTTGCATTTTCCACATGGAAAGTCAAGGGGATGAAATGCCTGAAGTTTAGGGGGTTTAGAAAGGCAACCTGACAGATTAACACACATGAACTTAAGGTTTGTCATCACAAGTACTCCTCAGGCTCTAAAATAGGTGCATCGTCTCTTGGAGAAAATACATCAGGGTTAGCTGCTGTTAGACTTGAAAACTGTGATTTTAATCAGCATATTTGTGGTATTATCCAGGGCAGTGTGTGGACATTTATCAGACAGGGTGAATATTACCGAGTTGCTTGAGGGGCGTTGAAATATTGGAGTAATACAACCACCACTGATTCCGAAGAAGAATAATGATCGGTAAAGCTCCACCCTGCAAGTTGACAGCATTGTTCCCTCTGGTTTGTTACCATAGACTGTATAAAAGATGGACGTAGCTACCATGACGTCACCCGTTGGTTTCTGCACTGAGAAAATGAAGCCAGGGTTTTGCTACTTCCTGGTTGACATCTTGGATTTTTGGAGCCAGTGACGCAAAAATCGTCGGAGGGGGGCGGAGCCATAGGAGCAGCGATTGGTCAGATGGATTGAGAGGCGGGCCCTCTCTGCCCGCCCACATTTACCGCCTTCTGCTCGCTTCATCTGTATGGTCGCTGCCGACTGTCAATCAAGCCAGCCACACCCCTTGCCCCGCAAAATTTTGACGATTTTTAAAAATTCAGTATTGATTTATTTTCAGATTGGCCACCTGATCTCTGGACTTGACCGTGAAAACTAATTTTTAAAAAAATTCTGAGCTGTAGGAATGCGGTATTCCGTGATCTGTGATCACTTCTTTTCCAATTCATTTCTATGGGAGCCAGGACTAGCGGACGTAGTGATACTGCAGGTTTTTGACACTTCCGGGTTGGCTTCATTTTTCAGGGCCGGTTGCTACGTCCATCTTTTATACAGTCTATGTTTGTTACATATGAAGCCCCCAAAAGTCTTTAACTGTAGTTTTGATATTTCCCTCAGCCATGGCATTGACTTATTATTTCAGTTGTCATGTGTGTTCTATCATTAAAAAAGCATCACATGGACATGTTAGCAAGGTAAAATAAAAACTTCATTTACACCAGAGGGGGCTTTAAATAAGTTAAATTAAATTAACAGAAGGCACCTTTCACAGGCTCCTACATTTTAATACAATCATCATCATGCAATAAGCCACAACACAGATCTTTCACAAAGAACAAATCTAGTAATAAAGTCAAGGTCAGATGGGCTCTTTTTATAAAGTGAGCACAACAAACATGACCCACTTGAAGGCACCATTAATTGGGTCCACTGATAATACACTGGTAATCTGAAATGAATAGTTGTTATAGGAAAGAAGGAGGAAACAAAAGTAGTTTTAATAATCAATGTAGCACAGCCTCATCACGTGACTACAGAAGACGTGACAGTTGCATGATATTTGACATAAGACAAATACATTTGTCTTCCTTCAGACGTAACGAAAATAAAACGTGTTTTTTCAAAGATACCCATGTAAAGTTGCAATTACTCAACCACTCCTGCGCTATGCTGATTTGCTTTTCTTGCTGACAGTTTGACACGATGATTTATACCACTCTCATTTCTGTACAGTAAATGCAAGTCTGCAGCTAGTAGCCAGATAGCCTAGCATAAATACTGTACACAGGGGGGGGAAACAGCAAGCCTGGCTCTGTCCAAGCTTTGTATATGCTGGACAGACATGAGAGTGGTATTGATTTTCTCATCTAACTCTCCAGCAGACTGCGAATGGACATTTTTCACAGAATGCCAAACTACTGCTTTAAGAGCAGTAGGCTGTGCTCTAACAATTAAGTCTGACAAGGTCGTGCATGAGGACAGAAGCAGAAATAGTGCTATTTAGTCATATTTTGATGAAAATTGTTGAGACGTACAGTGTTGAGCCCATGAATAGGAATCATAGAAGCGGATTATGCTGCAGAAGTGCTTTCAGATATTTGTATGGATGTTTTGACATTGCTTTTGTGCTGAAAATCTTCCCTTATTGAAATCCATTATAACTGATGTGGATCCAAGCTGAAGGAAAGCCTCTTTCAAAGTTCTCAGTGAAATAGCGCACAACGTTTCTAGAGCCACCTTCCAAACATACAGATGGTGTTTTGTGCTCAAAAGATTTTGGGCCATGTATCACTTAAAGGTCACATTTTCTATTTAGTTGTGTAAACACTGCTATAAGGCTATGCAGCTAAAACACTTGGTCAATGTCTTGGTGGATGCTGCTGATGGATTACTTTACTCATATCAAAAGGACTTTCAGAAACACTTTCTTTATACTTGCACCTTATTCCAGTCATGTCTCCTGTAAGTTATCATTTTGTGGAGGAGAAACAGACGCTTGGGGCACAAACATATTCTCAGGACTTCATGAAAGGTTATTAAATTGAGTTGAGACCGGTGGCAGGTGATGACTGCTCATAAACTAGCTGGTCAAGTAACCTTGACAGCAAACATTACTCAGTCCAAGCCACAAAATGTGTCCGTAAAAGTCTCCATATCCTTGCTGAATATATAAACTGCACTTTGTTTGGAATTTTCATTGCAGACGTTACACGATGTGTTGATCGTTTGTTGACAGGTTGTGGTCGTCTGACTGCAGTTAGCAACCCAATCACCGTGAGAGCCTCGGGGTCCCGTTTTGGCTCCTGGATGACGGACGCCATGATTCCCAGCTCTGACAGCAGGGTAGGTGTACAGCGTGTGTGTGGATTTTGTACTTCTATGCAAGAGCTAGTTTGAGATTCAGACCTTGGGGGGACATCTTTCGAAAATGAAGACATTTTGGCCAGTTCTCACTTCCTGAAAGACCTTCAAAGAGGTCTCAAACAACCCTTAAGACTTGGTTTTAGGTTTAAGGTTAGAATTAGGTTAAAGTCAAGGTTGTGATTTCATATTTAATTGTGCTGGTTAAGGTTAGTTTAGGGTGCATTCCATAGATGAGGATCCCCACAGAGATAGATATGCAAATGTGTGTGTCTTTACTTGTATTATTCATGTTGTGAGGACATTCATCTATTTAGAGAGTCACATAAGGGTAAGGTTACAATAAGGTTCCATTTAGGTTGGAGTTAGATAAGTGGTGGTGAGAGTCAGGGTTAAGGAAAGTAATGTGAGCCAATGAAATGGTCTCAGAAGTGAAGAAACAAGACTCTGTGTGTGTGTGTGTTTGTGTGTGTGTGTGCGTGTGTGTGTGTGTGTGTGTGTGTGTGTGTGTGTGTGTGTGTGTGTCCCGCTCCTGACACGTGAAGCAGGTGTTGTGATCGTGGTCACAAGGTAGCCAAGCTCCAAATTTTTCCTAATATATTTTTCTGTCTCCTTCAGCCTTATTTTTAACATGACTCCTGTGTGCACTCTGTCTCCGCTCACTACAAGCTTCACCCATTTCCAACACACACACACACACACTCGCTAAGGGAGCGCATATTAAGCTAGTTGTCAAGGCGACTGTCTTCCAGTTGCCAGGTGTGATTTATATCGCCATGGTGACCCTTGCCTGTTCCCTATTAGAGTGTCTCCCTGGTGATGAGAAGGAGCTATACGCAGCAGCAGTATCCCAGTTATTGCCTCCTGTTTCCCAGTTACCAGTGTGACTGGTGCTGTTATGGGGGTTATGTGTGGGGGCTGTTTCACAGTCCCCATGTCTGTTTGCATCTTTGTGCTGAGATGAGGAAGTCTTTTCTTTCTCTGTCTTTTAATGGTGTAAAGTAGATGCTCCCCAAACTGAGTGTGGCATTCCAAAAAGCACAAGAAGTGTACAGTATGACTCTTTCTGGATTTGTATTATAAATAAGCCGTGAATCTATAAAAAAAACTGTAAACTACTGAAATCACTTTTATCTTGTTTTTTTTTTTTCTCCCAGCGTTAAGGAGCTCTGTGGAGCTCTCCCATAAACAAACACAGTTGTGTCTGCCTTTAAGTGCTTTAGTGTGTATCCTTGAGGCCTAACCATCATGTTGGATGCATTTCCTTCCTCTTAAAACATTTGCAGAGCCGACATTTTTTCAATTCAAAGAGCCATCTGAGGTTGTTTGTCCTGCTCTAAAAATTGCATTCAGCATCTTTCCTGCACTGGCCCAGAAACCTTCTGCTCCATACACAATCATTAGAAAAGCTGCAGCTGTAAAATGGTAAATGAGTTTTTCTGTGTCACTGCGTAATGTATATGCACCGTGACCGCATTAGGGGACGCTGGATACTAGATGGTGTTCACTCACCTTGTGTACAGTTTGAGGTGTTTTACCGATACCTCTTTTATCATAGTTATTGTAGTCTGTGGGAAAAAAGCTTTTTTGGCCAATGGGCAATATTTTGTTGCAATTATGTGAGTGACCACTGACACAGCATTCAGCCAGGCTGAGTGGTGTCATATCCATCTTCCCTGTGTACAACACACAGCACAGTGAGCACCCCTCTGTGCAACATCAACTAACTGGCAAATGAAAATAAAAAGATTAAAAAATAATTCTGAGTGAACAATCGAAAAGAGATACTTTAGAAAGACTCTAATATAAATACAGACCCCAAAGTAGAAACTCAGTGCAATAAATGTGAATACTACTATGATCACAGGCATACATGTTAGAAAACCTTTGATGACTGCATCTAAATTAAATACATCTGTGATGTCCAGTTAGCAACGAACATGGTTCTAAAATGACCTGTTAACACCAGAACTTTCTTACTTTATGTGCCGTGCATCTCTGCATGTCTAAATCATGGCTCCACGTGGAAAAGAGTTGCCAAAGAAGCCATAAAATCTAACTGTAAAACTTCACAAAAGATACAGGAAGGTCTGTGGTCAGCAAAAAGTCTGTTCAGGCATCTTTGCTGCAGTAATCAGCAGGTACAGAGTGAGGCACAGTACCACTAATCAGAGCTGCAGCGGTCGTCCTCCGAATATTACACCACAGACTACATGCACAATCTACCTCTGCAAAACAGATGAGCAGCTGCATTTGACTTGGTACAGATGTTATCAGTGGAAATCAGAGTTTCTGTGACAGCTCAGACGGTGTAAAGATCAATCTGTAATGTATGAACAATGTCCAAAAAATACCGTAACAAAACCGCTCAATAAAACTTTTCTGAAGAACATGAAAAGAAGCTTGATGACTATTAAGAGTGTAGAACATTCGTATTTTTTGATCAGATTTAAGCAAGATAAATGTGTTCAGCTCAGATTACGTCCAGCATGTTTAGCATGAAGCTGGTCTGGACTGCTGCAGTGAATGTATAGTCCTGACAGTGAAGCACAAAAGTGGGAGAGCAATGATATGTGGCTGCATGAGTGCGAACATGTTGGAGAGATGACAGTTTTAGATTCACAAGGAATGCCTGTAGATACATAGCACAGTAATGGCTAACAAGATGACTCCCAGTCTGCAGAAGCTTGGCAGAAGAGGAACATTGCAGCAAGATAACACACTGCCAAAATCACACAAGAGTTTGTAAAGAAGAAAACAGTGAAAACGATGACCTGGACACGTTTGTCCTCTGAATTTAATCCAACAGAACACCTTCGGAGTATTTCAGAGTGAAAGGTAAAGCAACATAACCCGTCCAGCAAAGAGCAGCTGAACAAAATTATTCTGTAAAGAATGGAAGAACATCTCTTCAGAAATTCGGTATAGTCGCTGCTAAGGTAGAACCACAACGTATTGGAAAAATTAAAGATTTGAATGGCAGTATGAGCATTCACTTCTAACTGTGGAGCCTGTATTTTTAACATAGTAAATGTAATTGGTTAGTTTTTGATTTTGCATTAAAACAAATACCCTAAACAAAGAAATAATGCAGTTATTTCAAGATGATATAATATTAAATCATTTGACATTCATGTGATTTTGCATTCACTTCTGTTGTGTACTGTGCATGTATAGTACGCGACAAGTGAGCACCTCTAACAGAAGTAAAGGACCACCGTGCTTGAATGTGGTGTCCATGTCTTCATATTTTCTAGTTAGCTGATTGTTTCATTTTCTAAAATTACAAATTCAACATTTTACTGGAGACGACAAAGGTCAAAATTTTAGTTTCTTCATTTCCTTGTCGAACATTTCGAGAGCACACTTCAGTGTTGGTGCTGAACTCATCTTATCTACTGAATTACAGCTGGCTGCTGAACAACATTGCATTAATTTCATCTCAGAAAATCAAACCTAAAAGATTCACTGAAAGCTAATGTGGGTGTTGTTGAAAAGATGATATGGCTTTGACAACCATTGTGCTCTTGTTGTTAAAGCTGCTATATTTCATTATTATTCCAGCTAGCTGAAGAAGAATCATCCCATTGCATTGATTTTTGAAGAGCAGGATTTATTTTTTTTTTCTGTCTCAACAAACACATACCAATCCAAACAGTGATGTGTGCTCTCATTATGTACATTTGCTGGCCTTCCATATTGCACAAGCTTATGATTTCAACATAACATTTTTCACATCACAAAGCTACCGGCTACAAATATTATTGTGTTTTTATTTTGTGTTCTTAAATAAAAAAAAAAGTCTGATGAAGCCATATATAAACCATCAGCAGCTCTCCAGGCTGGACGACCTGTATCTCATCAATTAAAGCTGTGTGCTGCTCGTGCGCACAGACACACACTTGTCCAGCTCACGCCGCGATTCAAAATGAGTAAAATCATCCTCATACATCCTTTGGTATCCATGACTACAGTGTCTGCACAGGGTCCCAGTATGGCATTTATGAATTCTTCATTAGCTCATCAGACTGTGAATGCGTGTGTGTGTGTGTGTGTGTGTGTATGTGTGCGCACGTATTATATTTACACACATAGACGCGTGCACACACCTGTCGCTGTATTTGAGAACAGCTGCCGAGGTGCGGATATCCCCTGATCTGTCAAGATGTCTCTGCTGATCGTGTGAGAAGGAGAGAGACGCAGCAAATAAGAGGGAGAGCATGAGGACTGCTGCTGAAGAGGTGTTAAGCAGGAGAAGGAGACAGGGAAGAGAAACAGGGGCGGGGAGGGGGGGAGGACAGAAAGAGGAAGAGTCAAAGAGGGGACGCAGGAGACGGCAGATCAAACGAACAGCAGTCGGGACAGATAAGCGGGAAGAGATTAAAGGAGCAAAGGAGGTGAAGGTGAAGGTGAAAAAGGCACAGCTACAGAGGCAAGATAAGAAGAGGGGAGAGAGAGGTCAGGGGAGATTGTGATCTCTTAAAGGGTCGTTATTTGCTGTAATCATTATGCTTCTCCAGCCGGGTTGTGCAGCGATACCTCCCTCGTGTGACTTTACTGTGAGAAATGAGACACAATATCCACATTCCTCATTCTGTGGAAATTCTCCAATCCAGCCACGGAGAACACGAGGCTTCAGAAGTTAGACATATCAAGCGGGTATGTCTTAGGTTTCAGCGTTTCTAATATGAAATTCCCTGATAAGACTGTTCCCCTGATGAGCCAGTCGTCTCTGAAAGCCGGTTCTCCAAATAACGTTCCCTTGCATCTGAGGATAGAATAGACAGAATAAAATGATCTGGCTCTGGAAGCAGCGCCTTGTAAAGATGCGAGATGCTGTCTTGGTGAGGGAGTGTTGTTTTAGCGAGATGAAGAAACAAGATCCAAGAAGACGTCTAAACACAGCACTTTGGATTACAGCACAATGATGCAAAATGATCACAGCCACAGGCGCGTAATCCTCTATCGCAACGATTAGCAATGTTTGCATTAAGGCTCAAACATTCCTTTCTGCTTGCATTTATTTGATTGGCCAACAAAGTGGTTTTTCAGATTACATCATATTGCATTGCAGCAAAAGTTGCACCAGGTTCAGCTCATTTGCCAGAAAGGCCTGTGATGTTTCCTGTAGCTGTCTGCAGTGGGGGCTTTGCTGTGGCAGAGCTGCTTTCTTGACGGGATTCAGGGGCTGCTTTTGTTTTGGGGTAGCGCTGTTGTTCCTCTGGAATAGTTTGACTTTTCAATGATAACCCGGGTTAGTTTGTTGTATTTTTCTGGAGAGTTAAATGTGAGGAGCACTACTGGCTTGCAGTGTCTTCTCTGCATTTGGGGCCAGTGGGGCCTGACCCCACCAAATGTCGCTGTGGAGCTCTATACTGGCTTGAAATAATGGAAAAAGCAGAAAAAATCGGTCGTTATAGAGTAATAACCTAGAAAGAATATTTTATGAAGACTTATAATACTCTAAAAAGTCCAATTATGTTACCAAGATGATTTTGTTGTAAACATTTATGCATCATCCAAAGGCTTTGCCCACAGAATGCCGACAAGTAGCCTAATTCCTCTTGACGCATCTGAGAATGGGGCAGGCCCATCAGCGTTTGTTTACAGTCGTCCTCAAATTTATCCATACATACATACATAAGTACTAATAAACAAAAATTTGTTAAATTGTAATGCAGTGAAATAAGCTTTTGAATTGTGGTTGAAAAGAATAATTAAAGAAGAAAAAAAAATGTCCCGGACAAATTGAAGCACTTTGCTGATGAGCAGTGGTGCAGAAGTCTGATTGAGAGTTACAGAAAACACTTGATTGCAGTGATTGGCTCAAAGGGTTGTTCATCAAAATATTAGTTCACGGGTCCCATTATGCTTGTTTGCTTGTGTGTGTGTTTTTTTATATAGATACATTTCTGTTGAACCACAATTCAAAAGCAATGTCATGATGTTCATTAAATTTTTATTTATTATTACTTTTGTCAATTCAAACTTATTTCAGTAACAGCTGTTTTTTTTTCCTTATTTAATGGGAGGGTATGAATACATTTGAGGACGACTGTAAGTGATGAACTGCTGAAATCATGGTGTGCATGTCCAAAACTGCTCTCCATAGACAGCTACGGGGTACATTATTGTGGCCCCAATGCTAGCACGCAGCAAGCTAGGTTGGTTTTCATTGTGAGTGAACAAGACAAAAAAAAAAAAAAAGAATAAAAAATGCATGAAGTAGATTCTTTGATAACGGCTAAATTTAGCATTTTGCCACAACAACACTGGTGAGTGACATTTTTTAGTGACCCTTTATTTTATAATGCTATGCATAAAAATAAGTTGTATTCTTGAATTACCTTGATATGAAACTACATCTAGTGTGTGGGTTTTGCCAGTTTTTGTGGCTCATTTAGTACAGATCAATCTCAGGTTGTCCCGTATGCATCACAGAATAATCAGATGCTGCTTTCAGATGTAGAGTGTGTTGTGCCTCACTCAACTTTTCACGCCACTGCCTGCTTGTCTGACTGGGAAGTCTGAGGTTACAGTCCTTCAGCTAAAGTGACCAGCAGCTGGCAGTAGCTTCTGAGCGGGGATCAATCCACTGATCACAGAGTTGATTTTTTGATCAATGGGTTCTTGTGTTGAAGTGTCCTTAAGAAAGACACTGATCCCTAAAGGCCAGTGAGGCCAGCGTCCTCACTGCCATCAGCACGTGTGTTAAATGAGTCAGCAGGAGGCTAAAAGCACGATATAACACAGTACAACAGCCAGTCTTTGGCAGCATGCAGTGAAAATACCCACCAAAGATCAAAATGACTGAATTTAGAAGGCGTATTTCCAGAAATTGAGACCTGTGGTTTTTTTATTCCATATATTTAGTTTTTTATTAGGATACGACCGATCCTTCAAGGGAGTATGGGAGTAGGCCGCCTGGGGAGGTGCCGAAAGAAAACAGCTCAACAATCTGTAAAACTTAGGTGTGAGTTCAAGAAACAGCTTCTCGCCGACTTTCTTCTACGCACCGTTCGTTGTATAATCAGCGTCTGGAGCTTGTTTATATAAAGTAAATGGTGCATTCAAATGCGAGAAGATTACAGCTGCCAGAAAACAAAGGGACTCGTGTTCCTTTGAAACCCTGTTTAAAAGGGAATTAAAACAGAGAAAGCTTCATCAGTGTTTGGAGGGGAGACGAGGGAGAGAAGAGAGCGTTGGAAGTAGAGAGAGAGGGCAATCAGTCTGTTTTCACTGTCTTTCCAAACCGCGAACCGAGTCTCAAATTAAACGCCACGTCTCCGAAGGTCCTCAGACTTACTGCAATCAGTTACCTTTGTCTGAAAGTCTTTAATTCAGTGTGAATTTTAAATATGGCTACTACAAATTAACTGTAATTTTAAACATGGCGCTGCTACTGCAGGAGAGATTTTTTTTTTCCTCTTACAAAAAAAAAAAGATCCTTTTCATCTGCTCCCTTTTTTCTGTCCTCAGTACTTTTTCTGTCTTTGTGGGGGAAATAACGAGCATCTTTTTTACCAACAATGCTTTCTCTTCCCAGCGCACTCTGCTCTTTACTTTCATCTGTCTCACCTCTCGTCCCTCTCTGGGTAATTAATCCTCCACACTGTCGACACTCAATTTTCCTCCCATCTCGATTCTTCTTCCCCCTCATCTTTTCTCGTTCTCTGTCCGTTTGTGTCTCCACTGAACTCTTTCACTGTCTGCCCCCTTCCTCCTCTGTCCTATATTTACACCTCATCTCATTACTCTCAGATTATCTGGTTTTACTTTCCATCGGGCAGTTATTTAAATTCAGGTCAGCCTGATTGAGGAGGTGGGAGAGGGTGGACAGCCGTCCTCCAAACCTGGGATAAATCAAAATTTATTACCTCTGAATAGAAAAGTTTAAAAACTGCAGAAATTTGCAAAACAGAAACTCTCCCACTATCAACATTGGCACAGAAAGGATAAATATTATTTCGATGGCACAATATTCTCTTATTCTCTCTAAGCTCTAAACTACAATCAGGCAGCGCAGGAGCATGAGAGGAAGAAAATAAATGCCAGATATTCACCAGACAGATGAACAAAAGCCATCGTCTCATTTCTAGTCAGAAACCCTCAGCTTTACCGGTAATCTTCCCAAACAATTCATTAGCTAACACCTGACAGATGTGTCTTAAATTTGGCTGGGGTTCCTGGAATCCAACTACAGAGCAGCAGGGTTTTGCATATGTCTTTTTCTAAGGCAACCTTTAATCCAATGTAGGATTCAAAGTAGCAAATAAAAAGACTCAGATTTGGACGTAATGCTGGAGGGCAGGTTGCTGCAATAAGTAAAATGTTAGTTAGTTGGGCAACACTGTTGCTGTTTTTGAATCAGGAAAAGCAATTTAACCTTTTCGGCCCATCACTGACTTTAAGTAAAAAATGCCTAAAGTGTCCGAAAAACAAAACAAAACTGAAGGTGATACAGAAACAGAGCAGTGTGGTTTGAAATCAGTAAAATATGAAGATTTATATTCCACTAAAATAACTGTATAAATAATTAATATGCCAGTTATAATCCTGTAGATTTCAAAATGCTTTAAGATCTGACTTAAGGCTGTCGTGGCGATTTTGGACTCTGTGTGTTTAGGAGGCTCTTGTGCTAAATACATATAAAGATAAGTAAACGTATTGTATTTTAACAAAGATGGGGACTCCCTGAATCCTGTGATATCAAATGTGTCCATGTTTGTCGACGGGGTGTACGTGGGCCAAGTCAAAGAAAGGATGGGGGGCATTTGCACATCTCTTCCGCTTGTTGAGAAATCCAACGCTAAACAGATCTGCCGAGCCTATTTACATTTGTTAAGCTTCAGGGGACAACCGACGTTCAGGTGAGGAGAGCAAACCATTTTAAAGCTGCTGCTGTTTTTCCTTGACTTAAGTTGTGTGAGGGCCAACAGAGACGGAGTCTGAGCACCACCATGTCATTATCTAATCAAGCTGCTGGTGAGCCGCGGTGATCATGACGGATCACTCTGCACAGTTAGCAGAATTCATTGCTTGGTTGGAGACTATTTTACAACCTGGATGCTAGAGGTAGGATCAGAGATAAGCCATCTGCTTTCCTCTCCTCCTTGCATCAGGTGTGGTCGATGGATGGCTACTATAAAGGCAGGCGGGTGCTGGAGTACAGGACCATGGGGGACTTCACGAAAGGCCAGAACTTTGTGCAGCACCTGCTACCCCACCCCTGGGCAGGGACCGGCCACGTGGTCTACAACGGGTCTCTGTATTACAACAAGCACCAGAGCAACATCTTGGTAGGAGACTGGCTGGAATATGGGCTGAATATTGGCAGTTTGACGACCAAAGGACCAGAGTAAGACATGTTGGACATGTGTGCGTGTGTTTCTAGGTTCAGTACCATTTTCGCTCTCGCAGTGTGATGCTGCAGCGCAGTCTGAGTGGAGCGGGCTACAACAACACCTTCCCCTACAGCTGGGGAGGATCCTCTGACATCGACCTCATGGCCGACGAGACGGGACTGTGGGCCGTCTACACCTCCATCCCAAATGCTGGAAACATCATGGTATGGTGAAATGTTCTGACTGTGTCTGGAACATGTGATTTCAACATTAGGAAAATCTAAACCCACTGATGGTTTTCAGGAGTCTCGGCTGTCAGCAGTTGTCTTTACCATCCAGTAATCATAAAGGCCCACGCTTTTTTTTTAAAAATCCATTTGAAAAGATGACAGAGACACATCACTGCACAGAATAAAGTCATCTATCATGATGAACAGCATGTGTATTGCTGATTTTCCTGACATGACTTTAATATACAGCATACAGCTGATTTTCTCTATTACTGAGCATTTATTATCACCCCCTGCTTACACCTAGTGGACAAGAAGGGAGGGTGGGTGTGATTGATGAATGGGTTTCAATAAAATGCAGACAGTTTGAAAGGATATGTCTTACGGCTTATCAAGACAATAGATAAACCAGAATCCTGCAAACTAAAGAAAAATCAAAATTAGACCACAAAGAAAAGTTCAAATCTTGAACTCCGTCTTTCAGCAAACACAAAAGAAAAAAGTGTTGAATGAAATAAAAAATGTAGTCCACTCCTCTCACTCTAACAGGTATTACATTCTAGATGTAAGTAAGTGTGATATTTAACTAATGAAATACTGATATCATGTTAATAATACATTTTTTTCTTTTGTCATTGACAATAGCCTTTAAAGAGGTTCTGCAGGAACAGTTCTTGAGGTTGGACCATACACAAAGGTTTAGTCCATCCTAAAAGGACCCTAAGAAGGGGGAAAACAGCTTATAGTGGGTATTGCACCTTGATGCTGATTGCCACCAGCCATGAATGAAAAACAGAAGAAGATGCAGTGTCTGGCTAACTAGCTACTATCACAGTGTGCTGCTGCTCCTGCCACACAAAGTCTCGTCGGAAAAGATGACAGACAAGACCCAGACTCTTTGAAAATGTCTGTAGATAATGTTGTTGTTCTGAATTCTTTTTTTGCCGTGATAACTGTCTACTGAAATCTGACGTCTTGGCAGCCCAATAATGTGCTATAGAATGAAACTGCGTCTTCACTAAACTGATCCCCTGAACAGCAATTGTTCCATTGAAGTTAAAAAACCTAAAAAAAAAAAAAAAACACAGCAGGATTGTCAAGTTTATACAAGAACACATGCTGTAAACAAACATTTGCCATCAGGAAATCTAACCAAAATATGTACTGAGGAAGACATGTTCCGGTAGAGAAATGCATTTGTTTATCCTCCCTGGTGTATAATCAATGCGGTGTTGACACTGTTTTCAGCATAAGTTGGGCATTTCTGAACTGCAGTTGCTAGAGGCTTCCAAATATATCTACAGAAAGCTACTTTTGCCCAATATATCATCCTGGACTATTTGTAAAAATGTTATGTTAATACATTATTTTTTAGGCATTTTAACACGTACACTTAGTAGCTGGTCATTACTAGAAGCAACAATACATGCAAACGTCTTCTTCCTCCTTTTCAATTCAACACTGAGATTAAGAAAACGAGAAATACTGTCATAGCGGCTTCCCTCTGCGACCTGACACCGCCTCCCCTCCCTCTCCGTCTCCAGGTGAGTCGTCTGGACCCTCGTTCACTGGAAGTCCTGCAGAGCTGGGACACAGGGTTTCCGAAGCGCAGCGCAGGAGAGGCCTTCATGATCTGCGGCACCCTGTACGTCACCAACTCCCACCTGGCCGGGGCCAAGGTCCACTTCGCCTACCACACCAACTCCTCCTCGTACGAGTACACCGACATCCCCTTCCACAACCAGTACTCCCACATCAGCATGATGGACTACAACCCCAGAGAGAGGGCGCTGTACACCTGGAACAACGGCCACCAGGTCCTCTACAACGTCACGCTGTTTCACGTCATCCAGAGTGACGGATAGACGGACGCGTAGGAAAAGGTAAAACATGCAAAGATAGCAGGAACAAAGAAGATGGGTTTTTAAAGGACACTGCAACTTACAACACATGTACACATGCAAACACACACACACACACACACACACACACACACACAATGGCCATTCACGTCAACAAGAAAATGAGTACTGTCTGTGTTTGAATTTGAATGACTTTTCGACTGCGAGAGCTCACTGAGCTAATAACTAGACACAATACACGGTTGTCGAACACCAGCCTAAAGGTCACCGACAAGAGTATTCATCACAGCCGAGACGAAAATTAACTGCCACCGTGGCGCTGATAGAAAGAAGGAAGTCAGACATTTTGAGCTCATCCATATTCCGTTACGTTTCATTCCACTCGTATATCAAGAAGTGACTTTGGAAGCCGAGGATGAATTTTCAAAAAAAAAAAAAAAAAGGAAAAAAAAGAAAACGCAGCTTGTGAACTGAATTTCACCTCGCGTCAAACCTCGAGCTGCGACGACGACCCTGATGGAGGTGTTCTGGGTTTGTGATGTGATCGTGGACGTGTTCAGTCAGCATGGTTGTTCATTCAATAAACTTGATTGTCAAACTTTCCCACGTCTTCTTTGTCGTCTCTGTTGTGCAGCAGAAAATCGCACATGCGTGTGAGCTGGGAATGCGATCTTTGTTATGGGCTCTACGCAACTGTGGTTCCGACGTAGAGTGTAAAACATGTATGCATACAACATAGGAAGAGTGGTAGAAGTGTCCTCTCACTCTTTTAATTATGGTGCTCTAGAGGTATGAAAAAACAATACGGATGCAAGATATGTCGGCGACCACATCGGTATCGGCCGACATTAGTGTTTTTTCCGATTTTCCAATGAACAACTTTAGCCAATGAGTATTTTTTAGGTAAGAGCTGTTTTTACCTTTGACATGTTTCACTGTCATGTCAGTCTTCCTCAGAAACGTCACTGACATCTGTGGTGTCGTGTCTTTATCAGCTGCTGGTTTCCTGGAGGTGTGGCCCGCCCGGCAATCTGTCAGATTTGCCCGGCGGGCCACGCCTCCTGCCGCCCGGTGGTCTCTACAGGAGAGGGTCCCATGTGTGGGACAGCATGACTGCTCCCTCATCATGGTTCATGGTGTGTTTGGCTTGCCTCTTGATTTTTATGGCCTCCTTGATCCAACAGTGACGTCAGTGACGTTTCTGAGGAAGACTGAAGTGACAGTCGAAACATGTCAAAGACAAAAACAGCTCTTACCTAAAAAAATACTCATTGTCTGATTAAAAAACAAACAAAAAAAAGAAACCTTATACTTACAATCAGAGCAGACAACATGAACCTAATCATGCTCACAAATTTAGCCGATGTTTAAAACCGATGGTTGTCTAACATTAGCGCCTTCGTCTCTACATTTGATATTGCTGCTGTTTCACTGATGGTTATACTTAAATGATCCTGGACTTGAACGTTAAATATGTTTAAATATGTGTTACTTTTGTTACGTGATAAAGAAGTGGTCTAATTTGGTCTGGGCTTCTTCTGAATAGTTTTCACCTTTTCACAGTGCTTATTTATACTCATTTTTTGGTGTGAAAAAAAATTAAATATCGACAGCGGTAATATTGGTTATCAGCGATATCAGAAATCTTCATATCGGATATCGGTATTGGCAAGAAATTTTAATATCGTCACTAAAAAACAACAAAACAAAGAGGCTCATTTAACAGCCCTACCAGGAGTATTGGGGTGTCAGGTTTACGTTGCATATTCAGATAGACACAGATGAATACATCTTAATGAAAGAAGCTGCAGCCCGTTGCGTTGCAGTCTTGTAGTCGCGACCCCAAGCCTGACAAACCCTGCTGTCTTTCGGACAACAAATGTCCCTTTCGTTGCAGAGTTTCCATCACATGTGAGCATCAAGGAAGCAATTGGTAAAATTAAAACACTGGTTACTCTCAGGAACGACTGCAAATATGACAAGAATTTGAGGTGAACACAACAAACAACATTTTAAACGGTTAATGAAAGGGAACTGAGGGAGAACTATTTCTTAGGAGACCAACATCATGTTAGCAGCGGCATAAACTACCAGCAGGGGTGGCGGCCGCAGTCAACCACCAGCAATTACTCCCCCCTTAATGACCCTCCACCTTGGAAATCTAGTTGTTTACACTGTCA